TCTGGTAATCATCATTTTATTCTCTACCTCCAAAACTTTTTTTAGCTCTTACATTTCAGTGAGAACATGCAATATTTTTCTTTCTGTGCCTGGCTTATTTCATTTAACACGATGTCTTCTAGGCTCATCCATGTTGCTACAAATGAAAGGCTTATTTTCAAAAGCTGAATAATAGTACTCCATTGTGTATATACTACATTGTCTTTATTTAGTCATCTGTTGATGAAAACTTAGGTTGATGTCATTTCTTGGCTACTGTGAATAATGCTGCAATAAACATGGGAGTACAGTTATCTCTTCTATGTACCGATTTCCTTTCTCTTGGATATAGACCCAGCAGTGGAATTGCCTGGATCATATAGTAGTTTCATTTTTCATTTTTTGAGGAAACTCCATACTGTTTTTCATAGTGGCTGTACTAACTTACGGTCCCACCAATAGTATATAAGTGTTCCCCTTTCTCTATACTTTCACCAACATTTGTTTTTTATTTCACAAAAAATGTTTAAAATAAAAATCCATAAGATCTGGTTGCATCTGCCTGTATGTTTACATATGTGTACGTATATATCTAGGTTTGTAGGATATGTATACATGATATTTTTGTATGTCCAATGGCATTACAAAACTAAAATACCCTAATTGGTGTAGTAGTAAGTGAGCACTCAAACAAATTAAGTATTCATAAAACTCTCAGAAAAATAGAAACTTACCCAAATGGTTTTCTGAGTTCATACAAGTTGCTTAATTGCCTCAGTGAAAAAAAACAAAAGAGTTGCAAAAAAATTGTGAAAATCTTATCTTGTGTAGTTAATGCTGACTGTGATTGGACAAATTTGTTATAAAGTTTTATAGAATATTAGTTTTAGGAGTACATTGATGCAAAAGTAGATTTTAGTATTCTCTGTTAAAAAGTCAATGGTAGAAACAGAAATAACATTTAATGTTATTATATCTGCTGACCACTCATGTTGATGAAATTTCATGTTCCCTTTGTCAGAGAAATTAAAAATCATCATGAACTTTACCTGCTGAACTTTAATTCTACTGACAAAAACTTCAGTTTTCTTGGATTAAGATTAAACCTTGCCATTGATAACCTAAAATGATAATAACTTGAAGAAAATGTTAAATTGGGGTAATTTATGACTGAAGAGAAATTTCTTACAGTGAATGCAATACACATGTTTTATTGAAATATTTGTGCAATAAGTATCAATGTCTTCATGTTAACAAAAACATTTATTTTATACTTACAGCCAAAATTTACTCTTTCTCAGAACTCCTCCCTGTACCCCACACCTTTTTTTATTTGGGGATGACTATTTTTAATTTTTTTAGTTATTTTAATGATGCATGATAGATGCACATAGTTTGGGGGTACATTCAAATAATTTGTAAAGATTAAATCAGTGTACTTTGGGTATTAATCACCTTAAATATTTGGCATTTCTTTTGGCTGGAAACATTCAAATTATTCTCTCCAGCTTTTGAAATATACAATAGATTATTGTAAATATAGTCACCCTATTGATCTACCTAACACTATGCCTTATTTCACTTATCAAATTGTATATTTATATTAGTTATTTCTAAATGTGCTTTGTTTTAAGAATAATTCTTAAATTGTTTCATTGCTTTGGTTTGGAAGTTTGTCCCCTCCAAAATTCATGTTGAAACTTAATCCCCAATGTAACAATATTAAGAGGTGGAGCCTTTAGGAAGTTATTAGATCATGAGGATTCACCCTCATTGATGGGATTAGTGTCTTATAAGAAGGCTTGAGGAGGGGAGTTCAACTCTTCCATTCCTTCTGCCATGTGTGGATGCAGCTAGAGGTGCCATACTGGAAGCAGAGAGCAGTTCTTATGAGATACCAAGTCTCCCAGTGCCTTAATCTTGGACTCCAGCTCCAGAACTCAAACTCACAAAATATATTTCTGTTCTTTGTAGAGAATCCAGTCTCAGGTATTGTGTTATAGCAGCAGGAACAGACTAAAACAATTCTATAGCAGGGTAGTAATAAAATAAAAACATGTTACAAATTCATGTAAGACATATTTTTGAGAAAAAAAATTTATTCATACTATAAAAAGTGAAAGCTAAATGTATTATTTGTTTGCAACTTCTTCAGAAAAAGTATCTATAGAATCTGTTCATACCGCTGTTTTTTTCTAATGACTTCATTTTAGAACTTGAACAGTTAATTCTTATTTATTTCTCAGTCTTCCTCTGTATGCAAAATGAGAAATTCAGGTAATTGCTTATTCAAACATAATGTAGAGGAACCAGTTGAGTTTCCATTCAAAAGATGAAAATTTTAAACATCGCAACCAGAGAACACTGCCAGACATGCAATTTTTGTCCCTCTTTTTGGTGATTTTCTTTATCAGGTTTATTCTGAACATGGGGTTTAGCTTAGCTGGGCATTGAGGTTTGGTGGTTTTATCACAAAATTAGAATTATTTTTTCTTTTTTCAGCCTTTTATTAAGCATCAACCTCAATAAATTGTAGGCATTTTGTATTGCTACTAATCAAAGCTATTAATTGCCGTAGATAAAACCAGAGAGAGAGAGATCATTTGAATTCAAGGATAAAAAGGCATCTAATTGCCATAAAGATCCAGGTAATAACAAGTTATGGAAAAGAATATACCCCTTTTATTTATTTTTAAACTGTTATTCTTCTCTGTCCTATGTACTGGTCTGGCAGAAAGCTGTGGTATGAATGACATGTAGATCAACAAGAAAAACTACCAAGCCAACCACTTGAAATGAGGCTAGTCCTGACAGATCAAGGATCAGCTCTGGGTGTTGCAAAGCTTCTGCAGAATCCTGTGATTTGGTTTTCTACGTTGCTTCAACAATGATTGCTTCATCCAAGTGGGGGCAGGGACAGTACCAAAGAAGGCCCTTTACTTCCTGACACATGCATTCTGTGTTGAAGAATTATCCCTGAAGAATACACTTACAGCTCAACTATCCAAATCAATAATTTTATTCTAGAAAAGGTGATGCTGAGAAAAGGCTATGCAAGAAATCCTATCTTTACCTCTATGTGTTCATAGTACTGTAGACAAGCCTCTTCAGAAGGAATTTAGCCTAAAATAAGATTGCGCCTTTCCCTACATATAATTTATTAGAGCAAACTTTAAGCTTCTTCAAATGATCATGATGAGACAATTCAGCTTTATTTTATGAAGCTTCTTCAGACCCTCAGTAAGACATATAAATTGTGAAATTTTGAGGACTCAGCGAAGCTTTTGTCCTCTTGGAGAGTGCCAGGAGTAAAATTTATGAAGGAGGGGGACAGAAAAGTCAAGGAAAAGGTAAGTACAATATAGCAAATCTTTACTACAACTTTAGAGAGAGAGAAAATGTATCAGAGCAAGATACATTGGAGGCATTTCCTCTTTAAATGCCCTTCATAAAATTACTTGATTTTTATTGGGGGAGGGAGGAAATTGCCAGATCCTTTCTAAAAATGTCAACTGTCATGTTTTATAGGGCTATAAATAATGAAATGCTCCTTCATGGTAAATACTGTTCTGTTAAATTTGAGAAGTCACAAATCTTACGATTTTTCCAAGATTGCAGAGAAGGAGCATTTTGTACTAAATGCTTCTGCTATTATGTCAACTAGGGAAACACTGACTACTCTTGAGGTATTTCTGTTGCTGTCTTCTTGGAAGACAAGCCAGGGAATTGAACTCTCCTTGCCTCAGGCTGCCTGTTGGCTCTGTGTAAAAATGACACCACGTACCTCTCAGTATGTTTTGAAATTGATAGTTTACCAAGCACTAGGAATTCCTTAGAAAAAACAGGCTCGTTATGTAGCATTAGCATCTTAAGACATTCTAGTACTCTTAAGTCATTTAAATCTTTAAAAGACTCTTCATTCTTTTTTTTTTTTCTTTTTTTTTTTTTTGAGACAGAGTCTTACTCTACCCACGCTGGAGGACAGTGGTCCAATATCCATTCACTGAAAACTTCACCTCTTGGGTTCAAGTGATTCTTGTGACTCAGCCTCCTGAATAGCTGGGATTATAGATGCATGCCACCATGCCTGGCTAATTTTTCTATTTTTGATAGAGAGGGAGTCTTACCATGTTTGGCAGGCTGGTCTCGAATTCCTGACCTCAAGTGATCCACCCACTTTGGCCTCCCAAAGTGCTGGAATTACAGGTGTGAGACATGCACCCAGCCTCATTCTTAAAGTATGATTTCAAGTGCTAGTCTTTAAAAACTTTTTTTAAAAATCAGAATGCCATTTTATTTTGATATTACCGGGAAAGAAAGTGTTTGAACGGTGTGCTGTATAATACCAATTGACCAGGGAGCTCACCTTTCAGCTGATAGTTTTAATGTTGTGTAAAAAGAGCCAAAGTCATTTTTTAAAAATTTTTCTTAAATATACCTTATTGTAATGAAGACTTCAGTTTAACAAAGGTCAGTCTTGGGCCAGTCAAAAGAGGAAGAATAATTGGAAGGACTGGATAGACAAACACAGCAGATTAGAGATGGAGTCCAGAGTAGTTACAGGCATTCAACTAACATGTTGTCAAGTCATATTACCATTGGCTCTGCTTGTGCTTAAGACTGGTTTTCAGTATACTGTGAAGGAAAAAGTTAATTAAGAATAAATATGTTTGGATCCTAAACTTACTAACTTACTTCTGGAATTAATTATTACACTTGTGCTTAAGACTGATATTCAATACACTATGAAGGAAAGAATTAGTTAAAAATAGTACTAAAGTATGTTTGGATTCTAAACTTCTTAACTTACATGTGAAATAAATTGTATTTTTAGGATTTTTTTTAAGTTTTTAAATGTTACCATTAAAATGTTGCCCCTTTTAGAATAAAATTATTTTGATGTGTCTAGAAGCTATCACAGAAAATAAAATTTAAAAATATGTAGTAGATAAGAATAAATCTTTGTGGTAGAGTAATTCAGAACAATTTTTTATAAGACAAAAATGACAAGGCTTCTAAACTTGATTTTTCAAGTTACATTTATTACTAATATAATCTCAATTTTCTGTATGCATCTTTCAAATACAGTGTTTTGTAATAAACAGAAGTGGAAATGTCAATCTATTTAATAGAACAGCACAATTTTTTCAAATAGAAAAGTGTGGACCATGTAGATATTAGTACTTTGAATAGAATTCAAATGTGAAAATCTACTTTCTCTTTAAAAAAAAAACAAATATTTCTGCAATTTTTCTCTGATTGTAATAACTGAGCCTATTTGATATAACTTTTAATCCAAAATTTCTAGTCACTAATGCATATATATACTTGAGCCCTAATAGATCGGCCCTTTCCAATGTATATAATGGTGCCAAAATATAAAAGAGACATATTCAGAGATAAATGAACAAGAATCCATGCATCTATAAAACTCAAAATACAAAACAGATTTTAAATCATCTTAATAATGGATACTTCAAACACATGCATTGGTATAGCATTTAATCTCAAGAAGGAGGAAAAGTGCCAAATTAGTGTCTCTATGACTGGCACACTCTACTTTTAAGGAAGGCTTTTTAATTCACAGTAAAACTCAAACTCTTTCTACCCATGTGAGTTCTACTAATAAACAAATGTTTTGTAACACATGTGGTATGGACTTTCAAAGCAACAGCTTGTCTCTACACATGCTATTATTCAGAAGATAGGACTAACTCATTTTACTTTTGTGAGAACAATGGTCATCTACATCTTCTCACCCATAGGAATCAAACTTTACTGGGGCAGGTGTCCTGTCTCAACCATTAGCTTCAATGTGAGAAATCTAACTTTATTCATTTTCAAGTATACTGAAGAATAATACTGTACACTTTAGGATGATTTAACAATGGCACTTTGGCCTTTCAGAATTCATATCTGCAAAGTGTGACTTTTCAAACCACTGATCTCTGCTGCAAATATAGGATGTTCTTTTCCTTGTGAGTGAGAAATGTGCAACTTCCCGGCCATTTTCTTAGTGTCTTTTTCCTGCCTTTTTCTTAATGTCTAGAACAAGTTCAGATAGCTTAATACAGATAATATTGATCTAGTACCTGCAAAGAGAGAGAAGTCTGTTTTATACTAATATGTAAGTTTAAAATGTCACCTCTCCATTTTGAGTCTGCTGAAAATTTTAGTGAATAATGCTATCTATGTTAACTGATGGAAATAACTCCTAGCACATATAAAAGAAAGCAATGAAGTAGAACAAGACCCTGGCAAGCAAAGTGTTTTCTGCTAAGTCTCTCCTATCTTAGTATTAAGATATTCACAAGATAGTCACTTCAAATCTAAAATGATTGAACCACTATAATGAATTTTGAACCAAGTAAGGCTTTTATGTAGGGGATTTCTGAGAATTTGCTGACTAATCTATACATCAGGCATTATATTTTAGGATTCTATAGAAACTCTTGGGAGTCAATAATTATGTTTTTATACCTTGATAATTTAAGAATATGACCATAAGAAGTAGTTATTTTTTCTTTTCTCCATCTCTTAACAGTTTTATATCTGGTCTATCATCTCTAATAGAACTTACTGTGATTTCTTTTTTTTTTTTCTTTCAAGATAAGGTCTTGATCAATTGCACCCTGGCATTACTTTTAAGTTTTATTCTGTGAAATATACCATGATTATAAGAGACCATCATAATGATACATTCAAGACCTGAAAAGTAACACAAAGCAAAAGTATCACCTTTAAAAAGCTAAGAAAATTTTGAATAGTCACGATGGTTTTTTACTTAAAAATATTTTAGATACCTGCGTAGGATGTCAAATACTTTGATTTTTTTTAGTATTTACCACTTTGTGGGTAATGAATTTTTTTGTATTTAACACTTAGTAGGTAATGAATTTTTTTTGTATTTAACACTTTGTGGGCATGGCAATAAGGAGCAAATGTTTGATCTGATTGTTTGATGGGCATGCTAACTAAGCATGGGTCATGGGATTGATGAAACAGCTGCTTAACTTCCTCTGGAAATCCTAATGACAACTTTCTAAAGAAGCACCACTTGTTACATAGCCTTCTGTGGCATGTTTTCTATAACTGACTAAATGATCATGCTCTACAATTGCATAATAACAGACATATTTATGTACCACTTCCTTAAATCCATTGATAGTTTTAAATCTTCGCATCAACCCTCACTCCATGTAACACGTAACACAAAGCCTGCCACCTAACAATTCCTTTTGGGACCTTTATTGTTACATGTAGGGACACTAATTATCTAATCCACTCCTAAACGTAATCCGATATTTATATAATGAACAACGAAAATAAACAATGCATCAGAGGGCATTCTACAAATGAGAGAATCTCAGAATATCAGAGTTGTTAAGGATCTAAAAGATTAGATAATCCGTGGCTGGGCACAGTGGCTCATGCCTGTAATCCCAGCACTTTGGGAGGCAGAGGCAGGTGAATCACCTGAGGTCCGGGAGTTTAAGACCAGCCTGACCAACATGGAGAAACCCCGTCTTTACTAAAAAAAATAATGATAATACCAAATTATCTGGGCATGATGACACATGCCTGTAATCCCGGCTATTCGGGAGGCTGAGGCAGGAGAATCGCTTGAACCTGGCAGGAGATGTTGCGGTGAGCTGAGATCATGCCATTGCCCTCCAGCCTGGGCAACAGAGCGAAACTCTGTCTCAAAAAAATAATTAAAAAAAAGGTGAGATAATCCAATCTTCTCATTTGACGAATGGGGACACCTGAATCCAGAGTCTATTCCTGTCACAGGCTTCTGGCTTAAAATAGATTAGAGACAAATCACATACCTAAATCTTTCTATTCTCCACACATCACGCCATTCCCCAAAAGTCCTTCCAAAATGTATAATAATCTTATTCTCATATGTTTATTTATGAGAACTCTATATTTTAATTATTTTTTTAAAATCTGAAATTTATTAGATTTTTTTAAATGTTGCAGATAAATACTTAATACCAAGGAAAATATTTTTATAAAATAATTGCTCACTGGCATACCCCTAAGAGAAATTTCTGCAATGTTATATTCCTTGCTGTTATAGGTAGTAATAATTAGCACACCATATTGCATTCATTTCTTCCTGGTCTAAAGTGCAAAGAAGAAATACTTAGTTTTATTTTATTTGAGTAGAGTTTAGTTGCATAGACTACCTATAAATGGAATCAAAATTATGAATTACATTTAAGTGCCAGCACATCAATGCAGATTGTGAAATTTTCTTCTAAGTAATTCTCTACGCATCAGCTGACAATGAAGTGATTCACACTCACCTGTGTGTCTAGACACACAAACTTAGATAAATGACTTATGAGAACAAGCCAAGGCCAAAAGTGAATCTAAATCTATTAGAAAAGTTTAAAATACCTACAAAGGAACACTTTTTAGAAAAACATAGTTGGCACATGATCCATTCTTGTAACTTTCATGTTTGGCGTCTCCATCCCCTTGGGTGTGGGATGTAGTTGTAATCAGCTACTGGAAGAGAGTAATCAGACCTGGTTTCTATGGACATGATTGCGGAATCATTTCTTGAGGCCTGCCTATAGTATGCATATGGCAACCGTGAACCGTATTGGGAATTGGTGGACATATTATTATTGGCTGTGACATTATACTCTTGCCTTCCACATAAGCCCATATAGGCCTTCTGGGTTTGAGGAACATAGGACAGTCTCTCATTCCAATCCTCTGGAGGCCCTGAAAGTACCTTCCTTCGAGCTGCTGAGACCACATTTGCCACAATGGATTCCTGGATGTTTCTGGGTCTGAAAGCATCATCCACTAGACCGAGAGGAGACTTTGCTGCTGCTTCCCAAGGAGTTGGTCTCTTGTTTGCTTTCTCTAGTCCATCAGTTGGTTTGCTAGAGTAACTATAAGTTGGCTGGTATACCCAAGGAGATGTAGAAATGGTGGGTGGGATTGATCTTCCAGGAAGAGAAAGGGAGTGTCCACTCTCCTAGAAACAATGAAAATATTAATATATTTTATTCATTTTTGTTTGTTCTGAGTGTTATTCCAAAGTATTCCTGCCACCATTACCAAGTACTGCAAAAAAAAAAAAAAGAGAAAAGAAAATAAAACACAGAATGCTTAGTCTGAAAGCCAGGATAGGCTGCTTGTCCACACCTTTGCAGAAGTGGGCAAAGTATAAATGGTGGGCTTCCGCTTGACCCCACCATTTGCACGTGGCCCTCCTAGTTGCTCCCCGTCTGTGAACCCATAGCCCCATCTGCTGTCATCTTTCTTAGGCATAACCACCCGGGGCAGGACAGGGGCTCCATCATCACTGGGAACCACCTTTCCTTCTCTCTGCCCTCCACACAAGCATATGTGCATTCACATCCCACCCTCGTTCCTATTCTGTTTTCCTGGTACAAAATAAACAAAACCTATTGATAACCTCAAATTACTGAGTTTTTTATTCTTCCCAAGTGACTCTTAATCTGTTATCTAATTTTGGTCTAGTGAATAAATATAGCAAAAACAAACAAGAGCTCCTTAGATGTAGTTAACATTACTGGTATGATTAAATGGCTGGTCCTTTTCCTCTCAAAATCTATTTATATGGTGAAGATCACATGGATCTTTATTTCCTAAGTGGAGTGTATTGCCTTTATCTCTGAGGGAATTATTCCTGCTTCTTGTTTTGTTTGCATTTCCTTTCATGTGTATTAGATTCCTATTTCTTTGAGAGTTTGTATCCCTGCAACATTCCTCTGTGTATACTTAATATTCCGCTTGACTAATAACACAGCAATATTATTCATTTTTATTATTATTTAGAGTTCGAGCCTCACTCTGCTGCCTGGAATGGAGCACAGGGCGTGATCACGGCTCACTGCAGCCTGGAAGTCCTGGGCTCAAGCGATCCTCCTGCCTCAACCTCCCTAGTAGTAAGGACTGCAGGTGCTCACCATCATGCCTTGTTACATTTTTAAAAATCTTTTTTAGAGACACGATCTCCCTGTTGCCCAAGCTGGTGGTCTTACACTCCTGACCTCAAGCCATCCTGCCACCTCGGCCTCCCAAGTTGCTGGGCTTACAGGCATGAGACACAGTGCCCAGCTACAGCAAAATAATTTAATGAAAGCTCTTGTGTTCTCATTCTCTCCTTTGAGTCCTCTGCATTTCTAGAAATGCTGATGGCTGGCTATCTACATTACATCTTCACACATTCCAATATGCATGAGAATTCCTTAGATAAGCTCCTGACAAAATGCAGAGGGGGTACACCTAGGGGACAGGAATATCAATTTTGAAAGTATCAAAACACCCTGTTTCCTAACAAAAAACATTACCATGGTTAAAAATGTGCTCTAATTTCATAAACAATTTCAACACCGTTTCTCTTAAGTTCTTAACTTTGAAGTGAATAACAAAACTTGAATTTGGGCAAAATATCTCAGATTCACGTTTTCTTTTTGTCATTTCCATTAGGCACACAAAGAAGGTAGCTTGTTCATTCTTGGTTTCTGTCTTAAAAACAAGGGGGTCAATATAACGAATCTTGATTCTCTTTTTTTAATCATTTAAATTTTACTTAAAATGGTTGAATCTTAGCAAAAACAAGCTTTCACTAATATTGCCTTAATTCAGAACCACTCATAATTCTCTTTACTATATATTTGGGTGAGGGGTGGGGAGTCCTGGCTTTTAGTCACCTTTAAGGACTTAGTTTCTATTTCACATTATTTATGTGTTGATTTGATAAACTCATTTAACAGAAGTTAACATATTGTACACCTAATGTTTCCAGGGACTCTTCTATAAGCTGAATATTTAAAGATGATAAAGTCCTTGCCCTCAATAAGCACACAATTCAGTACTAGCTTTAGCCCCACAGTAGCTGAATTAAGTCAATTATAGAAGACCAGTTTGGGCTGATACAGTGGCTCACACCTGTAATCCCAACACTTTGGGAGGCTGAGGCACATGGATCACTTGAGGTCTGGAATTCAAGACCAGCCTGGCCAATATGGTGAAACCCTGTCTCAACTAAAAATACAAAACAATTAGCCAGGTGTGATGGCACACGCCTGTAATCCCAGCTATTCAGGAGGCTGAGGCATGAGAATCACTTGAACCCAAGAGGCAGAGGTCGCAGTGAGCTGAGGTCACGCCACTGTACTCCAGCCTGGGTGACAGAGCAAGACTCTCTCTCAAATAAATAAATAATGATAAAGAAGATCAGTTTAGAGAAGATAGAGAAGAGACTCTAACTATCTTGATAGGAGAAAAGAGAGAGTCTTCTAAACTGTGAGAAGTGGGAAGACTCAGTGTAATGAAGAGAAATGTAGCTGTCTCCTGTGGTATGTGTCTACCTCTCACTTTTGTCCTTTCTATGGAAGAGTTAGAACAACACTGGTCTACAGAGTCCCTGTTAGAGTTTTCAGAGTCCCATGATTTTGTTTCTTGTGGTCTTTGATTATGAGAGAGGCAAGCGGCAGAGAAATTCTAGACAGACAGGGGTGTGTCCCTAGTGAAACCCCACCTTCAAGCAAAAATAGCTTGAAAACCACAGTCCAAAGTGAGAACTTCTATTCCTGTTTGCCCATTCTCTTCTGAGTGGTTCCTTCTGAATAGTGTCTTTTTACCAATTGAATATTGCTTTTTCCAAAACTATCTATGGCCTGCCCCACCCATATCCTGTGCCTATAGAGACCCCAGACTCAGTTGGTAGAGGGAGAGAGATGGACCTTGGAGGAGACGGCCAGACTTCAGAGAGACAGCCAGACTTCAGGGGAGATGGCCAGACTACAGAAGAGATGATCTGACTTCAGGGAAAGACAACCTGCCCATCCTCTTTGCTCTCCAGCTCCCCTCTCCACTGAGAGCCATTTTCATAGCTTAATAAAATTCACTTCCCTTCAATTGTCTGTGCAACCTCATTCTTCTTGGACATTGGACAAGAGCTTGGGATCCACTGAGTGTAGGTACCCAAAAAGGCCATCACACTGGCCCTTTGCCCTCACTGGTGGAGGGCGGCAGCTCCACACAGTGAGGCGAGAGGCCAACTGAGCTGCTAACAAACCACCATCCATAGACAGCAGATGTAACACTCCCTCTGGGCTTTGGGGTCACAGGCACCCTCACCTGGGTGCCACCATGGGCCCACATGAAGTTTGCTCCTGCTGGTGCTCAGAGTGGCCAGCCATATCCCACACACTAACTCATGTGCTTCCCCCTGCAAGGAATTGAGCACAGTGGGCTGAGTAAACAGGGGACTCCTGTTGCAAGTCTGGCAAAGAGGCTGAAAAAAATCCTGCATCAATTAGATGTAGCATCTTGAGGGACTGTTTTAGCCAGTTATTTAGGTATTTAAATAGACAGCCAAGGGGATGGCAATAAAGGAAGCTAAGACTTTATAGAAATCTAGGTGAGGCTTCTAAACATCTATGGAAGTTTTAAATTCACTGGCTAATAACTGGAAAAAGAAGTAATTATCAATACACTTGGGAGTATTAAGTACTATGTGAAAGCATATATTGCAGTGATAAGGCATCCAAAACATTGCATGAAAGAGAGGAATTATTTTTTGATGTTCCTCTCACACACTGAGTTTGAAAATATTCAAAAGAATTGAAATGACAGAATTTAGAAAGTTCAAAACATTATTGAGTGATATCCTATTAACAAAGAGGTGAATGTGCAAAGAGAAAACTAAAACATTGATGTATGATATAGAAAGAGTAAACCAAGGCTTTCTGAAGAGAAATTAAAAACTAGGATTGTGGCTGGGCGCAGTGGCTGACACCTATAATCCCAACACTTAAGGAGGCCGAGGTGGGCAGATCATGAGGTCAGAAGATTGAGACCATCCTGGCTAACACGGTGAAACCCCTCTACTAAAAATAAAACAAATTAGTTGGGCATGGTGGCCTATGCCTATAGTCCCAGCTACTTGGGAGGCTGAGGCAGGAGAATCCCTTGAACCTGAGAGGCGGAGGTCGCAGTGAGCTGAGATTGCGCCACTGCACTCCAGCCTGGGCAACAGTGAGACTCCATCTAAAAAAAAACAAAACTAGTATTGAAGCTGAAAGCAAAAAGGTCACATCAAACACACATATGACAAATGTAACAGCAGTGTCAGTCATGAGGAAAGAAGAGCAATCAGCTCAACGAGCACAATGACCATTGTTCTTCCACATTTCCCCAGACTGACAAACATACCTTCACACTCTTTCAAGTGCTAGTAATAGAGGATAAAATAATAAACTGTTTTAGGTTAGCCATCCAACTGGGATAGAAATAAATCATTCCATAGGTACAATATTGTTTCTGCTTGTGCCCAAAATATTGCAGGCCTCTAACTGTTACTTGCAACCATACTTCTAATTTTAATGTATTTCCCCAAAGCAATTTTCATAGTGTTCTTTGGTGCTGTTTCCTTCTCTCCATCTCAGTTCCAAGGCTCCTGCTTTTCTCTTCTTGGCTGGTTGAATGAAGCCATGTGATATACCATGAGCCAGAAATGACTAAAGAAACCTGAGAGTAACAGAGGCGTTTCTTTAGTTTTGGAATTTGAAGGTCTGAGACTAGAATCCTAGCATGGCATGGATTAGGTCCTGAGCTGTCATTTTACCATGGGTTGTATCATTATCAAGGGAATTTAATTTTTTTTTATATAAGAGCCTTTAACTGTAACCAAGAAGCTAAATTAGCTTTACCCATGGTGTGGCATCAAATTCCTTCTTTTTTTTTTCTTGCCTTCCACTACCTTTTAAGCTTTTTAATTAAAAAAAAAAAAAAGTTTTCCATTGCCACTGGAAGAAAACTTAGCAGATCCTGGGACATTTTGCTTACTTTTAGGAATAGTTCAATGGTTACCTTAAGTTACCCAAACCAGTCTTATTTTGAAATAGTTGATTCAATGCCCTGAAATAACAAACTGCAATTCAACTTTATTAAAGTTAAATCTCTTCTCCTTCCCTAGCTGGGGCCTGTTTCAGAAAGGTT